ACAACACGCACACCCTGGAAACTGTGGGTAAAGCACACAGAGCAGGGAGGTACACTCCCACACACAGCCAGAAACTCCCAGCTAAAGGCAGGGGACCACAGAGGAACTTTTAACTCTCCCCTGGTGATTCAAAATTCAAACCATGTGCAGTCTCCATGGGACCTGTGATAAATGGAGAGTTGCAAGAAGTTCACATTTTTAAGGGAAAACCTGTCCTGTAGTTTTGGGGACGGTTCTTGGTTGGAATGTTTTACTTTTTTAAAGTATTTATCCCGTGATGGCCCATTTTTTTGTTTCCTTGTTGTTGTTTTTTTAGCCCAAACTAATTCAGTTCTGTCTCTCAGCAGGGATGGACAAACATAATTGTTAGTCTCAGGAGAGTAAAGACCATTTCCAATATCTTTATAAAAGACATCTGTCCATTTCTAGTCCTGCTGGTTCTGATAAAAGTAAGCCTACATTATCTAAAGAACCCATTTCTATCTTAGCCTGGGTGCCAAACCCATAGCACACTGGACACAAAATATCTCATTGAGATCTAGGTCACTGAAGAAAGGTATAATGTAAAACAACAAAAACAACCAGATTTCTTAAAATTACACAATTTCTCCTTTCAATTTAGTATGACATACATGCAACAGCCGAAAAGTGTTTATTGAAAATATTGACCACAAAATTGTGAAGGGCCTACAAGCACTATGTCCACTTGTCACTTTCATAAATAACTTTGCTTATTTTCAATGTTGATCTTACTCTTCAGTTCAGGCCTTGGAATTTAATTAGAGACTGGAAATTATGAGGCAGCTCTACAGGGGAAAGTTTCTCCATAAATCAACTGTTCCTGGCACAAGTTTTCTGACTTTCTTAATTACGTTCTTCTGGTTCAGAGTGAAAGGAGGAAGACCCAGAGGCAGGACAATAGAATGACCTCAGATGACCTTGAACTGTAATTGTACAGGGGGATGTCCATTTCACACAGGGAAAGGACATACTAGTAGTTGCACAGGGGAGATCCATTTCATAATGTGAGAGGGTGTGATTTTCATCAAACCAATGTCAGTTTTAAAGTACGATCAACCCAGATTTTTAACAGTTTTCATTGGATGTTTGGTCAACGTTGCATCAGAATTATGCCCATTGTAGAAGATAGCTTTCTGACACAATATCTGAAAACTATAGACAGGATACTTGAAGTTGAATAGAAGACTCATTCTGCAAAGTGCTATACACAATATGTTACAGGTTTCGTGCAGGCCCAATACGTGTTGCCTACGTACTGAAAAATCCTTATTTGCTGTCTCCGGTAGTTTTGTATGGCCTTGCACCGGTTTTGATGTGGGGGTTGGGTAATGTCACACCTAGGCAATAATGAGTACCCATCTGTTTGTACTGGGGTGCTTCCCTCCCCCTGACCAAGTATGGGCATGGCCCAAGGCACACTGCTATCTAGGGACCGGGACAAACCACTGTTGGTTTAGAGGGGAGGTTGGTAAGGGATGGTACAAGATTGATAGTAGGGAAGGTTGGAAAATGTACCTTCAATACCCATCAAGACCAAAGCATCTGAATCTGTTAAAATCACATAGCTTTTGGCAATGTCTTTTATATATTGCTTTTTTCAGAGGATCAGCCATGTCCAGAAAAATTCTGTTAACATGATGTTAAGGTGTGACCTGGTTTCACACCTGTTGTTATACCTGTGGACAGGTGTGCAGCCTAGGCTCACCTGTGTCACAATATTTACCTGTGCATGCTGCAGCATGTTGACACTTTAAGTCGTTGCTCCCAAGCACGTTTGCTCAGTCACAACCCACTCCCCCTGATCAACAATGCACTCACCCAGAACCAATACAAACACACTGTAGCTGGGACTGACCCACTCTTCAAGAAGGTGTGTCAAAACAAGTAGTACATCCAGTAAACTTTCAAGTTCTTCTCTCCATGATATCTCTTAATATTTTGTCTGACTTTTTTGTTGGCCAGCCCCACAGACATTTATGGAACTGCTTTCCTATAAAACCTTTCTTGAAGTAAAAAAACCTAAAACCTTATCAGTTTCCAAGGAAGTTGCAGTGCATTAAGATATCTTAATCCAGGTGTTTTGGTTCTTCAGGTGCTGGAGGATTTAAGGACAGGGTTTGAGTTCCAGGGATGAGTGGGGCTTTACTCTGGGCTCTGGGAATTTTGTCTTAACAACAAACAGACTTCTTACTGCTCCTCCTTCTGCTATATCAGCTTTACAAATAAAGTTTAGTATACTTCAAGTCATTTTCTTGGTTATTGGATGCTGTTGGTTATTGCTCTACTTACATGTACATGTACAACACATATACTTTCCAATCCATCCCAGCACCCTGAATATTATACAAGAAGACTTTTCAGGAAGAAGGGGGAATGAAATATTGGTAGTTGAGGATGAAAAAAAGGAATCTACTGTAAGAAACAGAAGGCGAATGTTTCAATGCAGGCCTTCGTTCGTTGTAATTTTGATTTTTCCCACTTGATACAGACAATATAAACACACAGAAATAAAACAAACGGAAATGAGATTCAAATCGGACAAACGAAAACTTTATTTCCACAAAGACGAAACACAACAATTTTCATATGTCACAGTTTGATTTTTGTCTCTTTAAATGTGCAACAAAGTAATAAAAAAGCAACAAAATGATAAAACAAATCAACCCCAACTGAACCACAGGTACCCTAAAATCCAGAAAAACGACCAAAATGAAAGATAAAGAATTTAATACGGTAAAGAATTTGTCTTGTCCCAAGTTGAAGTGGAAACGTTTTGACTTTGAAATTACCGAATTTTGCCATTTTTTAGTTAAAGCCTGTATCGAACATTAGCCTGGTTGTATCTAAGTGAGGAATGGTCAGTTTAGCTGGGAATTTCAGGGCATGGGGAGCAGTCAGTGGGATGTAGGATCAGATTCAAGGCAATATAAACACTGTAAATAAGGCCACACCAACTCAATTGCTTGGTTCTCAGACTTAAATAACATAATAGTGACACAAACATGAAAACAGACTCTGTGGGGAAAGTCTGTGAATATAGTCAGATTCAGGTTTTCTTCCCAGGCCTCTGTTTTCATCTTGATTTTTTGTGTTGAATTGGTACTTTTGGTGATACGAGAACTAAGGAATTAAATTGGTGTGGCCTAAACAACAAACACTACTAGTACGATGCGGCGTATTACACAGCAGCGTATGGCTTGTACACAACAAACGTTTTGATATTTACATAAACATTTTCTACTACGCAACAAAATCACTCAAGTTTGGCAACTGACTTAATCATGTAGACTTAATTTTAGTCATGATTGTCACTTATCAAGTTTTGCACACACAAGAAGTCATCAAGCAGCAAGCAGATATAAGTTAAGATATAAGATTTAGAAAATAGTGATGACTTCTTTAAGTTCTTAGGAAGCATCTACCTGCAGGCCCTTTTGTACATGAATGGGCAATAAGTAATAATCGTCAAGCAACAAAATAAACATAACTAACGTCTTGATAACATACTTCCTCCAAAAAGTTCAGAAAGAACTTCCTGGGAAGTTCTAAAACAATGTATGGAAAAAACTAAAAACTAGCAGCATCATAAATACAGTATTGGCAAATGTTGTACAGATTATCATAGCAACATAAGACTGGGCAAAACATCTTTAAGTTTGAGTTTACCTTGATCGAAGTATGAACTTAAGCTTAAAGCATCCCCAAACATATTTCTTAAAGCCTTTTTCATTCCTATATGAGAAAGCAGAAGTCATAAATTTGGCACAAAAAGGCAGCAAACTGTTTTGGGATAAATTAGTCACCAATAAGAAGCATTTCATAATCACATGATCACCTTTGCAGGACTTGTTATTCTGCAATAGTCTGATGAAAATTTGCTGTAACTGAGAAAAATCTCTTCTAACCAACTCTATTCCAGTCAAGTTCTACAAAATTTTTTTAAAGTCCTGTACTGACAAACCTGCATGAAACAAGGTTGGCCATCATTATAAGAATCAGAAATGTGAGCATTTCAATATGTTTCAAACAATGTACTGTTACCAGTAAGATACACTTTGTTGCTTCATTTATCACAGAAATCTTTAAAAGTATAGCCAAGCCAAACAAACACAGTTTACAGAGTAGAAGATAAAATTTGGCAAGTAAAGAGGTCTGATGACGGACCTGAGGCATCCAGCAATCCTGGGACTAAATTTGGCAAATTCTTCAAACTTGTTTACCCACAAGCAGTTAATGAGGCGACTCCAAGGCAAGATTCCTTAACTTAAGACTCCTGGCCGCAACCCAAGACAAACACTTGGGTCTGTCTTTAACTTTCTAAGGAGCACAGTTACAACTATCAGCTGTGCAAGTGTCTTCAGACTTAGACATGGGAAAACCTCAGAATTCTACTCAACCTATCGTTTCATCTATTGTCTATGTGTATGTCCTCCTCAACCTGACGGACGAACAACATGTGTATGCGTATGTAGTGGTGACAAATGTCATTCTAACTCTACCGTCAACAGACCCGCAAAAGTTTACAGATCTGTTATCATGTCAACAAGAAGTTATAATTGTCAGCTTAGCCTAACCAACACAGTTACTAACTAACTAAAAGAGTCTAACACTTAACAGAGGTAGCTGGATGAACATACTTAATATCAATTTCACGCGACATAAAAGCAAGAGCCAGGAATACATGGATACCAGATCATCACCACTTCAGTTTATGGTCATGGTCAGTTTAGTTCATTGTTACTCTTGCTTCCCTCTCAAACCATGAGTCAACAGCTCCATCTATTGTCCACAGTAGGTACTGCAGGCCAAATGCTGCTAAGTATGTTGTTGGTGATTTAGAACTATTCTCCAATAAATAATCATTACCACCTAGAGTTGATGATCATCACAACTCCAGTCGATAATGATCATCATCTCCAATGATAATTATCATGACTTTGCATTGATAATTATCAACGTAAGTTCTCCTTGAAGCTCACCTGCTTCATTTCTCGGTGAAGCTGCCTGATCTTGAGCGGAGCCTCGAGTCTCTTCTGGTGCTGCTTCCAGACGTCTTCTGTCTCCTTCTTCCGCACGTCCAGCTGCTTCTGCTTCTTCTGCACAAGGTCGATGGCTTCCCTCGTGTCCTCCGCAACCTTGTGTGCACTGGTAAACAACAAACAACAACAGTAAACAACAAAGAAGCTTGTAATTTGTCTCTTCTGTACATTATAGTGATCAAAACACAACAAACTGGACAATGAACACTGATTGCAAGTAGCATTGCAATTCCACACCTATGTGATTTTCTTGTTTTATTTACAAGCATTTTCCCTCATACAGAATATAACAGAAACCTGAAGACAGAAAATAAGGCAACCATAGATAACCTTTCTGCAATGTTTACCTTTGAACTAACTTCCTCTCTGTGTCCCTAATTTGCCTAGCATGTGGTAAGTGTGGGCAACCCTCCTGTGACTCTAGTGTATTCAATTAACTATGGACATACAAGCAAACAAACATACAAACATACAAACAAATTGTCCACAAAGGCAACAACCAGCTGACCTTGTCTGGTCCATGATGGGCATGGCCAGGCGGACCATGAGCGAGTTCCCCATCCTCATCGTCTCCTCATACTCCTCCTCCGTCTCTTCCCTCCTTCTGACGATCATGCTGGCTGCACTCTCCTGTAGCGAGTCCGCTGCCGCGCCCAGCTGCATGCTGTGGATCAGGTTTCGCATGTCCAACAGGAGCTGTACAGGACAAAAACAGCATTAATACACCATTTGCAAAGCAAATGCATAATATAATGTTTACCTTTACATAGTCAAGCCTAACAAACTGTTTGTTCTTGCTTTAACACATTAATTCATATATATATATATGTCCTCCTACTCTGTCCTGTAAGTTGCTACATAATGTCACCCAACACCACAGGGTGTCCGCTACAGCACTAGTTACTATGGTAGAAGACTTACGGTCCAGGTCATCGACCTTGTGCTTAGAGAAGAAGAAGAAGAAACAGAGCAAAAAGGTATGTTTTCCTCCTGCAAAAGCAAACATAACTATTGATACCTCAGTATTAAGTTCTACAAATGAAAATGTCTTAACAGTGTTAGGCAAAGAAACAGAATGAGAAATTAAAAACAGTTTTGAGGAGAATTACCGTGTCAGCTTTCTTGTGAAAGTCATGTGTGATGAACAATCTTGACGCTCGCTCGTCCAAGCACTGCAAGAAATCGTGAAAGAACAAGCATTCACAAAAGCATTTAGAAACATAAAAGCAAGCAAGTAGAGAACAGAAAAAAAATTCCTTCTAATTTGGTCATACTCAGTTGAGGTTACGAATATAATACAACAAGAAATCCAACAAAATTGTTGTATTTTCTGCTATGAAATGTTTAGCACCTTGGAGAATTTGTTCCAGGCCTTCTCCAGTTTGACTGCCTTGAGGTGGTTGGGTTGGCAGTTGTAGTGGCACGACCGTCTCAGCACCAAGGCAGCCTGTAGAAGCTGCTTTCCGTAGTCATACGTGCTCTGGGGTACAAGCAAGGAGAAGACCCTGTTAATTTGCCGGTATGGTGGGTGTAAGGTGGTTTTGTGGTTAGGGTTCTTGACTCGGGATCCAAAGGTTCTTGGTTCAAATCCCTGGCAAGCCCCAATGTTGTGTCCTTAGAAAAAGTACTTAATTACCCATTTTCTAACTTGACTCAGGTGAAAATGAGTACCAAGAATTAGTTATTAGGGATGTCTTCTTGGATAGGATGTTAAGCTGGAGGTCCTGTGTTTAAGGACAGCCACAACTTGAGCATGTTAAAGATCCCATCACAATTAATAAAAAGAGCAGGGGCCCTTCCTGGTGAGAGTAGTTCAAGCCTACACCTGTACAGATGCAAATATGAGCTAAGGGTGGGCTTGACTCATTACCTTGGCAGTTGATTGGAACTTGTCGTGTTCCTCCTTCAGTTTCCCAGCCTCCCCTGCAGTTTTGCCCACATCTGTGTGCGTCCTCACCATCACTCCACACAGCTCCTCTAGCCACTGGACCGCCTGGAAATTAAGAACAACATCATCATCATTAACATCATCACCATCACTATCATTATCATCATCTCTGTCACCGTCACTCCACACAGCTCCTTCAGCCACTGGATCGCCTGGAAAAACAACATCATCATCATCATCTCTGTCACTGTCACTCCACACAGCTCCTCTAGCCACTGGATCGTCTGGATAGAAAAAACATCATCACCATCATCATCATCATTCCACAAACACATCATTCCTCCAGTCACCGTATTGCCTTCACAAAATGGTTAGAAAAAGAGACATTAAGTGTTTCATTGTTTCATTTCTTCCATTGTTTTTCACCATTTGCAATAAATCTGGTGTAGCAAGCAAATCTACAAAGGGCCAGGTGTAGCAGGCAAATCGGTCCCCACCTGATCTGCGTCCCGCTCGCAGGTGCGCAGCTGAAGAATCTGCTGCAGTCGCAGTTTCCGCACGTCTCCAAGCTCGTCACACCTGAAGGTCAAACAAGGGTAAATTTCAGTACCAGGTAACCTGATACCAAGCAGCCATTCTAGAGTACACCATATATGGTCAAACCATCTTGACTAAATCTTCAGTGACCAAGTCATTGAGTGGTTAAGAATGTACAAGAAGGTTCATCAATTACTATGTCAGTTACACATGCCACTATAGTCTTATAATCATACTATACTACAAAATCACTCAAAACTGGAACTTTCGCAATCCATACTTGTTACAGTGCTCTATGGCTAGACTTTATGACAGCTTACAAAGAAACCAAATTCTTAGAGGAAGATAGCTAGCATCTTACCTGAGTTTTCTTCTCTCTAGATCCTCCAGTTTGTTCTTCACATGTTGGAAGTCTCGAGTGTGGTCTGGAGTCACGTCTTTCCCAAACGCGTCTTTCACCAGGCCACTAAGGAGGTCCATAAGGATCTGTCCTTCCTTCATCACTTCCTTAAACTCTCTCTCTGGAAAACAGCAAGAAATGTCAAGTGTATAAAAAATCTTGAAATCTGGCCATATGATACACAGTGCAATTTTAAAACAAGAAGATATGATGATACACAGTGCAATTTTAAAACAAGAAGATATGATGATACACAGTGCAATTTTAAAACAAGAAGTGCCAGAACCGAGTAGTGCCAGCAGTCCAATGGTTAGTAACACTGCCTCTTGACCAAGAGGTTGGGAGTTTGAATCCTGTTGTTCCTCACTTGACTTGCATGCTACTGGCAAAGGTTGCATTCCGATGAACTGAATGTTAAGCAGTGGTCCAGTTTTCATTGTACTTGTCCAAAAGAGCTGGGAGAATTTCCCCGGTACAATGAACGTGTGGACACCGTACATAATACCTATCTTCTCTGTCACAACCATGGAGAGATCAGGTCTTCAGTGAACTAAACTGGCTTCAGATCACTATCATTATCCAACTATAAGATAATGTCTAACTCAAAGACACAAAACCTGTAACAAGCAAAAGAAGAGAAGAGAAGAGAAAAGAAGAGAAGAGAAGAGAAGAAAGAAGAGAAGGTAAAATGCATGCTCAGTACTTACCCACGTTGTCCCCAAACTCCTGTATCCTGCCGATCGCTCGCTGTGCTGCTGGGACGTCTTCAGGTATCGTGTCACTCAACACCTGTTCTAGCAGGCTGTCTAAGGCTCGGGACAACTGGAAGGAAGGAAGAATAACAAGGTCATAAGACGTCTTCAGGTATCAGTACTCTTGCTCAACACCTGTTCTAGAAGGCTGTCTAAGACACAAGACAACTGGACTTTCTTTACTCTATCCACGTGTTTCAGTTTCAGTTTATTTAAAATCGACTGGCATGTCACACAATCATATGGTACATGAAATATGTCGAATTTTCACAAACACTGCATGTATCATGGACTATCCAATAAGTTAAAATGACAGAGATATAATATTAAAATCTGGTCATTGATCATCAATTTACAGAATACATATAATACAGTCATAATAATTAAAAGAGCCATATTTACAGACTATCTATATAAAATCAATATACCACTATGTAGAATGCTGAGATAATATCTTCAAAGCCCGTGGTATAAACGACAGTTCATGACGTTTCGTTCTACTGAATGTGGAGCGTGACTGTTTCCTTCGTCTTAATTTATATGTGCTTTGAGGCGCTACACATACAAAGTCATGCAGGGGGTTGTCAGTGTCATTCAAGACATGCTGGACATGTAAAATGGGTAGTACCTGACTTTGGTTGGGCAGGTAAAAGACAGAACAAGAAGAGGGTTGGAATCCACCTTCAAATACCTAGACACAGTAGATTAACAACCCACTGCCCCTACAGCCTGAAATGGCTATGGCACTAACTTTGCCTCTAATGTTTTAGTTACAATTAGTCTTCCTGTAAGAAACTCACCCCTTGTGCCACTCGGAGGAACTTGACAGAAGACACGAGCAGGTTGCGTCTCCGCTCCATACGAGAGGCGAAGTTTCGGCAGACCGTGTCCATGTAGTCCCGCTGGGCCTTGATGTCGTCTGTCACCCCATAACCCTCCTGGAGCAGCAGCTCAGCCTTGTGCGTCAGCTCAGAGTACTTCGCAAAAACATCCTGGGGAAAAACATTCAAACATTAGATCTCAGAGTAATCCTAGGAGAAAAATACAAATTGTCCAAACCTAGTGATGGACAGGTGTAGTTGTCTCCGCATCCCTCGTTGTCAGGCAGACAGAATACTTCAGGTGATTGAGCCTGTCCACCCCCGTGTAGACTCTAGTTGGTATCGCCCAAAGTTGAAGGGTCACCCTCCCTGCGCATGCGCACCAGTCTAAAGTTTTTCAGCTCCACCTGGCCGAAGCCCTCTCGGGATGGGTCGTGCCGGAACTCGTGGAGAACTGCACCAGTCAGGGAGGGTGTCTGCCTGACAACGAGGGATGCGGAGACAACTACACCTGTCCATCACTAGGTTTGGACAATTTGTATTTGTCTACCGCATTCCCTCTTATGTCAGGCAGACAGAATACTTCAGGTGAGATTTGTAGCTGCTGAGGCCAGGACGTTTCTTCCGAATGAAGCTGACCCCACCGGTCTGTTGTAGAATTTCTTAAAAGTAGAAGCTGTAGACCAATTAGCTGCTGCTAGAATGTCTTTGGTTGATACGCCTTGTCGTGCCGCAGCAGAAACAGACGCCCCTCTAGTTGAGTGTCCGGTGAACCTTGAGGTGTCGATTCCGGCCTCTTGTAACACAGTTTTTAGCCATCTAGCGATGGTAGACGTAGATACCGCCTGGTGTGGCTCCACAAGAGCTCTAAACAGAATACTGTCGCACAAACGAAAACTTCTAGTTCTTGATACATACGCTTTCAGGTATGTTACCGGGCAAATTCTTCTGTCCTGCGGGAAGCTTGGAATCACAATGTCGTGTGTGACTTTGCCCGGCCGTGAAGTCTTGGAGAGACTGTTAACAGTAAAACGAACTCCGTCGGAGATTCTTTTCTTGAATCTCAGATCCAGCAACGAAAGAGACTGCTCTCTTCCCGCAGAAGTAAGAGCAAACAACATAATAAGTTTTAAGGTTAACAAACGAAGTGATAAAGAACTTGCTGGAGACCAACTCCTTAGCAACTTCAAAACTTTACCGACGCTCCAGGTAAAGCTATACTTGGGTAGTGCTGGACGTAGTTCAAACACACCTTTCATGAACCTCCTCACCAACGGATGTGATCCTAGAGGCTCGCCCTTCCAAGGGAAGATGTGTGGTAGATATAGCTGATCTGTACACATTGATAGTTCTGTACTGGAAACCCTTGTCGTACAAGGATAACAGAAAGTCTAGCACCTTATTCAGAGGTGCAGAAACGGGATGGATGTGCCGTTGATCACACCAGCCACTCCACTTGTCCCAGGCCGAAGCATACAGCTTCTGTGTTCCTGCTCTCCATGACGCCAAGAGGATTTTGCTAACCTCTGGCGAAATGCCATACATGTCGTGCTGACTCCGCAGACATGCCAAGCGGCTAGTTGCATTCTTGTGCCCTCTGGGTGAGGCATCCCTGACTCTGGCTGTGTCAGGAGACTGTTGTGGCGAGGTAGTAACACTGGTTCTTCTACCAGCATCTCCAGCAGGACTGGGTACCAGACTGCTGTGTCCCAGATCGGAGCTACGAGAAGCAGGTGAGCTCTGTCTTCTCGCGCTTTTCTTAGAGTTGGTGCGACTAGCATGAACGGGGGAAAAGCGTATGGCAGATCCCACCTGTTCCAGTTCATTGTGAACGCATCTGTCCCGATTGCCTCTGGCTCTGGATGCCAAGACACATACTGAGGTAGCTGGTAGTTTGTTCGGGACGCGAACAGATCACCCCCTTCATGAGTCGTGGAAATGTCGCTTGCAACGCCAGGANTGGGCGGCTGCTTCTGTTCGCCGTCGCCTTCCTGCTGGCTTCCGTCAGCGCTGAGAACCGGCATAGCCGGAGAAGACGACTTCTGACGACTGTCATGGCGGTCGTTTTCACGCACATGGTGCGCCGACCCGCCCGGGCTTGTCCCGCCTTCCTCGCGCTCCCTGCCGCTGGAACGCCGCCGGGAACCGCCACGGTCGCGCTTGGAACTCTCCTCGGTCGCCCTAGGACCCGAAGGCGCCCTCGAACGATGTCTATCGCGTTGCTTTTCACGCTTAGACCCCATGATACCAACGCAAAACACGAAGGTGTTTACAGGTTGCTCAAAAAAATTAGACTGGTGCGCATGCGCAGGGAGGGTGACCCTTCAACTTTGGGCGATACCAACTAGAGTCTACACGGGGGTGGACAGGCTCAATCACCTGAAGTATTCTGTCTGCCTGACATAAGAGGGAATGCGGTAGACAACAGTCAAATATTACATCTTCAGCCCAATTTAGTTAAATTGTGATAAATTTTGAGGAGCACTTCGCAAAAACATCACGGGGGAAAAACAGTCACACATTTCAACTCAGACTACTTTGCAAAAATCTTTGTACTTTGAAGAAAATACTCAAATCTTGTAACTTCTGTCCAATCAGCTATGGACTCCAGACACAAAGAAAAAGACTTGCTATCCAATCACAACATTAAAGACACTCAGAAACAGAAACTAATTTAGAAGGACATGGACTTCTCTCAGCAATGAAACACAACCAGTTGTGGAAATAAATTATGCCAGCTATGCATCTTTAGAGGTGACAGGGCCTGAGGATGATGTCCAATCATCTTTGATGTATCAGATCTGAGATAAGAAAAGTATGATAAGGAGTAAATGATGCGTCCATAAATACTCACCGTACACCTAAGCTGGATCTGTTCATGCTCTTTTCTGTATGACTCTGCTGAGGTGAGGTTCTGTCCGATGCGGTGATTGGACCCCAGCATCTGCTGCCCTGTACCCAAGATCCACTCAACAACCTGGTCAAACACCAAGCAAACAATTCTTATACATGCATAAATCTTGGCAAGAGCTTTCTTAGACTGTCCAGGGTTCTAGCTAGGATGTAATTTTAGCGTAGTGGTATTGGCCGCCTGCGATGGGCCCTCCTTCTGTGGTGCGCTGCTTTTAAAAATTTGAGAAAAAGGGGTCATTTGAGGGATACCCAAAGGGAAAAAATGTTATTTCTAAGGTATGTACTTGATTGGTAATTTTCCGCATTTGATCTGGCATTCTTGAACAAAGAAATACAGTCACAATGCCCCTATACTGTATGTGTAAGGGGGAAATTTAGCGTAGGGGGTCAAAATTATAGCGTAGTGGGGGAAATTTAGCGTAGGGGGTCAAAATTTTAGTGTAGGGGGCCCCTATGCTGCTTTGTGCTAGCTAGAACCCTGCTGTCAGTTTGTTCTTCAAAAGGTGAAGAGATCACCACTATAGTCCTGGACCCAAAATCCAGTCTACAACCTGGAGGAACATTGAGTAATTCTTACACATGTTGGTATTAAAGAGCTTGTCTCAGACTCATGTCATTTTGTTATTCACTCTTAGAATCATTCTACAGGAAGCTTCACAGATCACCTTGAATCTTGAAAAACACAAACAGCCCCCCAGGCACAAACAAACACACACACAGCACCCACCCCTCTACACACACACACACACACACACACACACACACACACACACACACACACACACACACACACACACACACGCACGCACACACGCACGGACGCACACACACACACGCGCGCGCGCAGGCACACACACACGCACGCACACACACACACGCACGCGCATACACGCACGCACACACACACACAACGCACACACACACTCACACACTCACACACACTCACACACACGCACGCACACAAACACACACACAGCACCCACCCACACACACACACACACACACAGACAGACACACACACACACATGCACACACACACACACACACCTACACACACGCGCACAAACACACGCACGCTCGCACACGCACACACACGCACGCACACACACGCACACACACCTCCTTGCTGCCCTTCTCCAGCCCAGACAGCTGCATCCCGTACACTTCCTCCCGGATCTGTTCCTCCAGCAGGTCCAGAAGTTTGTTCTCTCGCCCCTCCACCGCCGAAAGCTGCTTCTTCACCGTTGCTACGGCAACCACAGTGTCCTCTGTGTGCTTGGAATAGTCCGTCGCGAACCCCGACTCGATGAATTTCTGCAAGTCTGCGAGCAGCTCTTTACCTGATAGAGTCATACAAAATGAACCAAACAATTGGATAAATTTTCTAAGGAATCAGATTCTAAGGTGTCAACTATTTCAATACAGACAAATACATAATTGATTATGTTTGCCAAAGAAAAACATATAGTTTTTGCTCAGTTTCCAAACACATAAGGTCAATGACCTGAACCAGATGTCTGTCACCATGGTAACAGGTGGTGTTGGGTTACATTTTGTAGCAGAACAGAGTTGAAGAGGCTGGTCACTATATATTATGAATCTGAATGGGTATATATTAGAATAAACAGATCAGTAGTTTGGTGGACTAGAACACATGAAGGCAAACATTATGCACTTGCTTTGCAAATGTTGCTTTTCTAGTTTCTTACAACTTAACTTACAACTCCAACCATCTAAAGGAGCAAGATTCTGTTCCTATAAGAATTTACATTTTCTCACCAAAATTTATAGTTTCCACGGCAATAGTGCGAGCCTTCCTGCGGAAGTGGTTGTACTGGAAGATGAATTTGTCTCCGATGGCGATGGTATCGGATAACAGCTGTGTGTTCACGGCATGTTCCAGCTGGTCCAACTGTTGGCACATCTCTGCAGAGTCACGGGCAAACTTCTCCATGTCCTGTCAAACATACATCACATTATGTAGCAAAGTGGCAGGACAGAGTTGGAGGGGCTGGTCACCATATATATGTGTGAATGTGTGTAAGTAAGAACTAGAGCTGTGTGTTCACGGCATGTTCCAGTTGGTCCAACTGTTGGCACATCTCCGCAGAGTCACGGGCAAACTTCTCCATGTCCTGTCAACATACATCACATTATGTAGCAGAGTGGCAGGACATATTTATGTATGTATGTGTTTAAGTAAGAACTGGAGCTGTGTGTCCACAGCATGTTCCAGCTGATCCAACTGTTGGCACATCTCCGCAGAGTCCCGAGTAAACTTCTCCATGTCCTGTCAACATACATTACATTATGTAGCAAAGTGGCAGGACAGAGTTGGAGGGGCTGGTCACCATATATATGTGTGAATGTGTGTAAGTAAGAACTGGAGCTGTGTGTTCACGGCATGTTCCAGCTGGTCCAACTGTTGGCACATCTCTGCAGAGTCACGAGCAAACTTCTCCATGTCCTGTCAAACACATATTACATTATGTAGCAGAGTGGCAGGACAGAGTTGGAGGAGCTGGTCACCATATATATATATGTATGTTTTTAAGTTCAAGTAAGAACTGGAGATGTGTGTCCACAGCATGTTCCAGCTGGTCCAACTGTTGGCACATCTCTGCAGAGTCACGAGTAAACTTCTCCATGTCCTGTCAACATACATGTAAACGTTATGTAGCAAGTGGCAGTTGGAGGGGCTGGTCACCAGATGTATGAATGTGTTTAAATAAGAATTAACAGAGCATGATGATTGTGTCAGACAGAAGCTGCGTTTTCACAGAATTGTTCTTTTTCATCATCTCTTTATTCAATTTTTCAAACAAACAGTAACAAAGAATGGAATGGAAGATTACAACAAGACGTGTGGTACCACAAGAACAAAATTGGAAAACCAGAAACACAAATCACCTTTAGTAATTTTACAAACATTTGACAATAAGCCCCTATTGCCCCAATTACTGAACTCACCAGTCTTTTCTGCACCCAGTCATCATGGTCGTACGGAAGTGTCCCCCCTAGGTCCTTAGTGAGCTGGTCCTGGTCAACATACTGGAATATCTTGGAGGCCGTTACCATTATAGTCTGCAGGCGGGACATGGAAAGACGATTAGAAGAGAAGAAACATTTAAAATTATGACAACTTGTAAAAAATGTATGAAATTTAATTGAACGTATCCATATCCAAACTTTTTTACAGGAATTCCATCATAATTCTTAGCTATGTCCCTTACTATTTTGTACGTAAAAAAAAAGTAAAATCAAGACATAATCTGACAGAACGAACCTCGTATCCGCCCTCTGCCTTGTCGCTACGGTAACGGAAGCTGGTCTTCTGCTTGTCCCAGAAGGTGTCGGGTTTCACAATGATCACCTGGGCCAGTTGACGACCAAGGGTTTGCTGAGAATAAAAAAACAAGAACATCAAATTACATTGTGTTGCTACATATCTCAAATTTTCAAAGGTCTCAAGCAAGTTGCACACAACATTTATTTAAGCAACTGGATGTATTTTTAAACTGTGAGATATGTCTGACGAAAAGTGGTGGATGCTACTTGACATGTCAGACAGTTTTTTGAAAATCTATCAAGTTGCTTGAGTAACTGTTTTCTTGTATCATTTATGAATACTTTGGAATTAAGAAGACTTACCTGCAACACTTTGACCAGGCTCTTGTTGGCTCTCCATGTTGGAGCTCGCACGTCGATGATAACAGAAAAGCCACGAGATCTGGATTCAGGGCTAATAACATGAAACAAAAATCACAATGTGACATTTCACACAGCAAATCATAATCGCCAGTATTGCTACATTTGCACAAAACAATGCACATACTTTGAGTACTACAGCACCATCATTACAATGCTACAATGTTGCAAGTTGTAACATTGCCACATACCTGGGTACTGAGGCTAGAAAGGCCACATTCAGGCCGATCTCTTCAGGTGAGAAGTCTACAGGTGTGGGGTGGGTGGGGAAGGTGATGATAGGACCTCTTCTCTTGTCACGCCCTCCTAAACATAGAAAAAGGGTCAGTTTTAGTCCACTTGTTTCAAAACTGTTAAACAAAGTTTTGCGACAAAAATATTTCCAGCTCTACATGTACATATTGGTACTTGTATTTTATACTACAAGAATTTTACTGGTTACACCATTTGTAACAAATAACATCTTCAGACATGAACACACCCACCTGATAAGAAACAGATTCTTTTTCTCAAGACCACTTCCACAGCAGATGCCGGCATCTTAGGCACTGTGGAAGACATGGAGGGAGTACAATATTTCATTATTACTAATACAAGCTTCATAACAGTTCACAGATCTTTTTAAAGGCTGCCTCTAACAATCCAAGATACAGATATGTACAATCACCTGCTAACTAACATATTTCCAGGAAGGAGAAAAAAGTGCCCTCCTTTTGCTTTCCACCCAATTCTAAAAAAAAAAACGAATGCGAATAAAACAGAATAAACTGAAATAAATAAAATGAAATTAAATAAACAAAAGAAAATCAACTCACATCCTTTCTCCGCCCCCTTCCTGTCAGCGACATTGGTGGGTGCTGGGCTCTTTCTTCCCACCGCATTCGGAGACACGTGTCTCAAGGAGTTGGTGGTCTCCTTGGGACTGGAGGAGCTCCTTCCCGAGTTTGAGACAGCCTTGGGACTCGGGGAGCGTCTTGTGGAGCTGGAGATGGATCTTGGAGCAGGAGGAGACTGAGACCTTGTCAGTCTTCTCGGACTTCTCGGGTCATGGTGCTGAGGAGGAGAATAAATCTTTTTATTTTGAAAAGCCTCTCCCCAGGACACATATACAACCATACAATACAGTAAAATAACGATACATCAAAAATCTAATTTCTAGGATAAATTAGTATTTTCTGTAAAGGATGTCTCATCTTTGGAATAAGTAGAAGACATTTTCATGCATAGTAGCTGCTGGTTCACTGGAAGAATAACCTCTTCATGAGAGTGTTACGAACTGAAAAATTCTTCTCAAAATCTCAAAGGTTGGAAGCTTGAAGTTGAACTGTGACTTCTACTCCTGGAAATGTGGAATGTCAATCGAAAGAACTTATTTCTGTAAGGAAGGCAACACAATGTAAAAGATGAATCACCTTATTTGGCACAAAGTTTGGGGTATCTCTTCTTACAAGGTCTTGAGAGACTTGTGACGTCTTGGAGGAGTTCGGGTACGTGATGGAACTTGGAGGAACTGAAGAAGAAACGCTGTTGGTGCCCGCTCCTTGGTTTGTCCTTAGCGTGCTCCAGGACTCATAAGGACCCTTGCTGAGGTGTGCAGGCTGTTGAGCAAACTTCAGGACACCTTGGGTGGGTCTCAAGGAGCCCTGGCTGTGTCTCAAGGGTCCTTGGTGGTTGATGGGCTTCCTCAGGAGGGAGGTTTCGCTCCTGCTGTGGGCGCTGCGCGTGCTCGCGGTGTCCGGGAACGTAAAAACGTCGTCCTCGACGGGAGAAGACGGGAGGTACACAGGACTTCTTGTTCCGCTGATGTTACGCGGAGGGTAGCTGCTACGGTGGGAGGAATGGTCCTTCCTGCGCCCCACGCTCCCATTCGGACCTGCCGATCTTCTTGGCACTGCGGTGGTTGCCATGGTTACTACACCGTTGCCATAGTGATGATGATGATGAGTTCTATGCTGTCAAAAGCACCAGATCTTTTCTCATGTCCTGTGTAAAAAAAAAACCTCTAGATCAAAATTAGTTTCAAAGATCAAACATTTGACTACTAAATTCCAAATTTCCCAGCCTTTTGGTGCAACCAGCCTTGTGCCTCTTTGAGGCAAAAGCTTAGAAGCAAAAACAAGAATATTGAGTCTTTGTCCCATTAAACTAATAGTGAAAAAACATTAAAACAGGAATGAGGTATCACAAGATAACACAATGTCATCCCCTATGCTGCAAGCAAAATGATAATGATTTTCCCCTACAAAACCCATCCCACCACAGTGTTAATGCTTCATCCCCTACTGACAGCTGTATTTGTACATGTTAACCTTCATCAATGGGTGTAACACAGCGCTTAAAATATAGTTCCCAAAAAGGTAACAAAGATGGGAAGTGACCTGAACTAACAAGGCCAGCCAGCTTCTATTGTTAGCAAACAACATCCTGTTCACCCCCTTACAGAATAGACTTGTCCAGAATCAGGAAGTAAGAACTAACTACGAACTATAAGTGCATTAACTTTCAATACAGCTGGTTTATTTTAAAAAATCATCAATTTCTTACGGTTTTATACTAATAGCAATGCCTTGGCCTATACAGAAGTGAGCAAAATTTGGGCTTCCTATCATCTTTCATTTAAACTGCTACATTGTGTTGTGAACTGAACTGGATGTTTTCCCTTTATTTATGATATTCCATATTTAGGTCATATAAATTTATTTACATGTACAACTTGGAAATCTTCTATTTTATGTATTATTTGACAGTAGGAGGAAACGTGACTGTCTTATTCACACATGAAATAAGTCTATTTTAGTACAGTAGCTCACTAGCTGTATATTTGAAGTGTCATGAATTCAAGATTTATTATGTGTTCCTTATGTATGTTGAGGAACTTCTTATTCTTGCAGGCCAAAACATCCTCAACAGCTGCCCAAACAACCAATTCCTCTCTCAGCAAGGCCCATCACTAACTCATTAACATCTAATTAAAAACCCTTGACAATGGAGGCAGACAGCCACAATATTTGTACAAGAACACCCGAGTAAATTTGCACGTCTGGAGCTGTGAGGCTTGCACCCTGACATTTAGTTTGTGTGTTTTGGCTCGATGGAAGACTAAGAAAGATTCAGAAACATCTGCACTGCTTGACTTTCCATTCTTGGCATTTGTATTCATACATCACTTTTAAGTGTTTGCTGAAGAACAAGTAATTTTCACAGTTGCTTCACATTTTCTTACACAAACAGTGAAGTTTTGTATAACATCTTTTCGCTCTTGCAGGAAAAGTTAGGGAAACTCTAAGATCTAATATATGAATTTGTACTATACTGCAATGACAAATTTTCTTACTCGTGTGCAATGTGTCCAGCTAAAGTGAAGTAAAGCCATAAGAAACCTTTGTTGTGGTTCATCTGAATATCAAACGACAGAAACCCCCCCACAAGTACAAAGTCCCTTTCCTTTGTACACTTATCGCAAACCAAACACAGGATAAACTTGCTGTTTGCTGAGTTCCCTCAGGTGTGTACACAGTACAGGGCTGTAGCCTTGTTCAAGTTGTTGGATGGAATATTGATACACCTGAATGTGAATAATGGAGTCAAAAGTGCAGAATAGTGAACCCTGGTGATGAACTCTTATCTACATTCTTTTTTTATACTAATCGCACTTGGATTGATACATTTGACAAGAACTAGAAGGTTATGTTTTTGTTCTCAACTGCTGTTTCCTTGTTTGTAGACAGTATAACTTGATATGTTGTGGACTGGACTGAATTGAATAATTAATCCTTATAATATTTGGTATGTCGTATGTACCGTATGTACAAAAAGTCGGGTTGGGAAAAATGCAGGTCAAGTTCAATGATGGACCTCCTGGCTGCTTCCTATGGAACTGCAGCAGAACTTCATATAGCAAAGATATATGGGGTTGACGCTGAAGAATTCAAGTTGAACATATCACACAGAGGGGTTCCCTCATCAAGGCTGAAATGTTACAAAAGCATAAAGTTGGGCAGAACCTGAATACACAGAAGCAGACATCCTGGTTGGGAGTTGTTAGTTCGACACAGTTTCCTTTATTTGGAAACCTTTGATTCCTTTCACTGTTATGTTTGCTTAAAAACAGGTGTACAAGTTATCTATAGGGAGACTGACACATACGTGTGTAGGTCCTTTTGGATTGGGTCAAGGAAATCAGCTCATTTTGCTTTAGGTCCACTAGAACATAGTTTTGGACAAAATAAACGGACCTGGTTACCACAAAGACAATTTTCCACTTCATAATGAAAGCTGACAAAAGCTTGTGTCAGTCACAGTGTCCATAAACTTGATAAAGTACTTGAACAAGAGCTTGTTATTTCGGAAAATCAACTTGATGCATTGACATGCACACCATGCGTACACTGTACAATTTGGGTGTGCCGGGCAACTAACTCACTCCAGAAAAATTTCAACTATTCAGTCAGGCATTCACAGTCAAGGGCAGCTTTCAAACACCAGCATTGTGTAAAACCTACCGAAATAAAAACTCAAAAGTTGCTTTGTGAACCCGCTAAACGCGGGTGACCTGATTTAATTAGGAGGAAACATGGGGTGGGATTAAGACCACCAGGTTAACAGGTGACGTTACAGGTGAGATACAGGTGACAGACAGGTATACACGGCCCAGGTGATTCTCAATTGTTCCTGTCAGGGTTCGGTGTGCATGTGAGAGGAGTGTGCTTAGTACCAGGGGAAGTTGGATCAGGATGTTGGAATGTGAACCAAAACATTCCAGGGGTGTTACATATCCCGACACACTTCAAAGGTCTTAGCTGGAGCAAACACAGGGTGACCTGGGGGATAGTTCTGGTATAATGGCAGTCTGAGCATTGATAGTCTACATTCATGTTGAGTACTACAATAACATTGATAAAAATGCATTGAAAGTTATCATAATGTAATTTGTATGATAGGAATTCTAATGATCATTGCATAATTTATGTAAAAGTTGACAACAATAGACATTTGACCATACTACACAAAGACAACACATCTTACAGGTCTGAGAGAAAGCAAACATACTATGACAAGAGAAAGCTATATTCTAGCTATAATGGAATTCTATTCTACCAGTATTATCTTTAATTCTGAGTGAGGTTTGCAATTTTATGCTACTCGATTCATACACAAGCAATGTGACTGTACATGACAATATCTAATGTGGGTTTTCAAAAAAAACGTATTTACCAATCTAAGACAAACGTAATAGGTCAGACCGTCTGATTGATAGATTTTCCATGCTACACTTCAATGTTTTACAAAATCCAGACATATTTGGTTTCCCCCTCCCCAACATAATATGATCACAACAGAGTGTAAATGACCTTGGAGGCAATGCACTTCACACAAACGAGCCATTTCAGGAAATTACCGCCATGCATTTTGTTATCACGCAGGTACAAATGGCTAATCAGGAATGTGTTAGCACTGAGCAGGCAGATCACACCATTCACACTCTAATCCAAATGCAATGAGAGGCATTTGCCTTTGGGCAGAGGCAACTCAGTTTGTTGGTTTCTGGTACAAAGCGAACTTTTTTGTCAGGCCAGTTGAACCAACTAGCTATATATAGTGTCTGGGTTTGACTTTATCACTGTACCTTGGAAAACTGAATACAAATATGAAGACCAAGGAGGTTAAGAAAGAGAAACTTTTTAAGCAAAACATTTTGTTCATTCTGGATAAATAACATCACTTGCACAAGTTGCAGAAGTAACTTGTATACATGTAAAAAACATATGCAGATCTAAATATTCCTTTTTGCCTTTTTCATTTTTAGAGAAAAAAACAGAAAAATCACTGGCTATGCCTAATGTGCAATTCCCTCTGATAGCTACATCACCCATATTATATATATAGCACAGAACACTCTCACTCATTACAGTTCGTGTAACACTCTTACTAGACAATTTGCGTCCAACTCTTAACTCATATGTCAGTAATGAATTCAATTTTTAGCCACTGATTACTGTTCATCCACACAATGCTACTAGTAGACAGATATAACATAAATTCTTTGCATTTATAACTAACACCGTTATGGTTTCTAACACCGTTTTTGTATGTTTTAGAAACTGTTCCTGAATATCCTTTACTTATTCATTTTTAATCAAGACTCGTAAAATATGGCATTTTTGTGGCATGTACAGTAGAACTTTATATGGAGGAAACGCGCTGGAAATGGAAAGAAGTAAAATTTCTGTCACCCAACCCCCCTCCCCCCTCGAAAAAAAATACACAAATTTCAAACTTCTTTTCTCAACAAAAAATACACAATTTTTCCATTTTGTCTTCACAGTTGTGATGGAAAATTTACACTTTAGCAAATTTGAGCCGAATCTGAGAAGAATCTGAGGTAACAGACGAAAAATAAGAGAGAAAAAACTTACTCTGCAAAAAAAGTCGTCCGATCTGCTTTTCCCTCCATGTTTTGAGACCTCTACGGGGGTTTCCACGATACCATATTTTGAATGGGCAAATCGCGATTTCAAACTCATATTTGTTAGTTTCTTAGATCCCACCTTTCTATGTGTATATTATGATTTTAATAAATGTATATCTGTAATATTTTACACGGTATGACAAAGAAAAGTGAAAGATACCACTTTAAGATGGAAGTACTAACTCCCTTACATACCCTCAAAGCGTCCCAACTGGGGTTCGTATTACACGCTATGCAACAACACGTAGCAACAAGTCGCTAAAAAAGCTAAAACTTCGACGCAATTCGCGTAATTTTGCACAGACTTTCCTCAGAAGACCCTTAGCAACAACGTCTTACCTCCGAAGATGTCGATCCGCGTCTTAAAGTCTCCGTTTCTAGGTGTAATTTCTCATGGCTGGCCACACGATTCTTCCCCGCTCGTGTAGCGGTACTCTCATAACAAAACTTCGCAGGCTGTTCCTGCAAAGCGCTGCACCCCCTTCCACTGTCTGCAAACAAATCTTTACCTTCATTTTTTACTGTCACAACGCAAAACCTTTCCTTTAGAATCAACGTAAAATATGTTCAACAACGAGGTTTAAGAATTTTTGTTAGTATTACAAAAAAATGGAGCGAGTTATTTCAAGCAGATACTGTATTTGTGGGGGTGAGAACTTTACCGGGCAAAGTCACACGCACCTATTGATAACCCATTGAAGCGAGCCTCCAAGCAGAGGTTGTGGGGGAATGACCGTTAGCTTTTTATATATGGCCCCTTTTTGTCTGTATGTAACAGTGGGGGGTTTATAGGCGCTACCAACTGACCCGGCTGACGGGTCTAGACCTTTTAGCTCCTCACTCAGTTAGAGCGTCTGACCGTGGCCCGGGAGCCGTGAGTTCGAATCCGGCCTGGGACCCAGGGCTAATGGATACTGGCTGGCCAATTTTATACTGTCTTTTAACCACCACCGAAAGGGATCTGATTCGGTGATTACTCCGCCAGACGTCCTGAGACAATAGGTGTTGGTTTTGGGGTACCTGTTCTCACCTGGCCGACACGAGAGGAAAGCTGTTGCAGAGGGGGATCAGACGATGCGTGAATAGTTGCCATGGTAACGATGATGTTACCATGATGACACAAGTGTATTTTGTGGTTGGGACAGAAAAGTGGCCTAGAATACCCACTGTATGTTGATCCAGTTTCCAATTTCTTAGTACGTTTTTCCACAAAAAAAATTGTGTTCAACAAAATTGTTTACTTTTATTCTGATAGAAAAATGGTGGAAATTAATGGCCAACTAAACTGAATGATGGAGCTAGTCCACTCGTAGTGCGTGTCATACAACTATTTCAAGGTTATTTTAGGGGATCCCGTCGAGTTCCAACAGAAAAAATGAATGGGAGATTTCAATGAAAAGGATGTCCGCAAATCCTACATACATATCCTCTACATCCCTCTACCGTATCACTAAAAAATCCATACAACACAAAGTAGTACAAGTTTATGTCACCCTTATAATTGGACGATGCAGAATTTTCTTTAATTCTAAAATCATTGACACCGCTAAGTAATTATTAGGGATGTCGTAATCAAACAAGAATCAACTTTGTTGCTTATTAAAAAAGAAAGGATCTGCGGATGGATATGACTGGGTGAAGAATTTGCCGGTCACAACTTGGGCTCTTACGAAAGACCAAAGGTACAACTTCAACAAGGCTTCATCGGGTCAGTTTTCACCGTTCAAAACCCATTTTCACCGTTTAAAACCCAATTTTCACCCTTCAAAACTCAAATTTTCACTCTTCAAAACCCAATTTTCACCCTTCAAAACCCAGTTTTCACCCTTCAAAACTTTTTTTTTCACCCTTCAAAACTCAAATTTTCACCCTTCAAAACCCAATTTTCGCCCTTCAAAACCCAATTTTCACCCTTCAAAACCCAGTTTTCACCCTTCAAAACTTAATTTTTCAACCTTAAAAACTCAAATTTTCACCCTTCAAAACCCAAATTTCATCGTTCAAAACTTAATTTTTCACCCTTCAAAACTCAAATTTTCACCCTTCAAAACTTTTTTTCACCCTTCAAAACTCAAATTTTCATCGTTCATCGACTCGTCCCCAGGATACTAGTACTATGGTTGGCTCTTCCCAGTATGCTTTGCGCGGAGAAAATGCGGTCTCTTTCCCAGGGCAGTCAACTACAAACGCGAATACGCTAGTGTTATTCGCTGCAGTCTCGCCGTGCCCAGAACGTAATTTTATATTATATCGGACGCTGTGGAAGGAAAACATTTCCAACACCCAAGCACGACTTTCAACCGGCTGTTTTTGTAAGTTAGAATGGGGAGGCCGGGCCGGGGGCATTTCTAAGTACTTTGACTAAGTTAGAGCAGTTTTTTCGTGTTTATAAATTATGTTGTGGACAGAGTCCGACAGACTGTTGTTGGTTTCTTGTAACCCCAAAACCAAGGAGGCTTGTATTTAACCTCCTTGCCAAAACTTACTGCTCCATTGGTTTTGGAACTACTTGTATTTGTTTTGAGTGGCGGACAGACGTATATTTTCCGACATAACTTCCCAACTATTTTCCACTGACACAGTTTCTCCAAATTGTTACATAACTGTTTGGCGCGATCACTAGCTTATCTTACACATTGCATTCTAAAGTTGCAGCTTCTGCTGACCCAAACTTATTACACTTTTCGTAGCCCACATTTTGTTGCTTATGCATAGAGCTCATTGTAATTCATTCATTAATGTGCACAGATTTTCTCACCTTTCCTTGGCTTTTCTTATTCATTTCCACCCTGCTCTTTCTCTCTTCTCAAATTGTTGTGAACTACCGGTATCCTACCTTCCCCAAATATATCATCCTATATGCTGTCTGTTGCATTGTTGTAACAGTGGGGGGTTTATAGGCGCTACCAACAGATCCGGCAATGGGTCTAGACCTTTTAGCGGAGAGGTTAGAGTGTCTGACTGGGGCCCGGGAGGTTGAGGGTTCAAACCCCGGCCCGGGACCAGTGGGGTTTTTACTGTCTCCTCCTGTTTCTTACATATTTTGCCTTGCGGCCGGATAATTAAAATATGGAGGGGAGTGTTTCTACTTTTACTCTAAGTTTAGTAAACGGCTAGGTTTTTTCGTCTGAATTGTTGTGGTCAAACTGTGAATGGGGCTGCCTCTCCACCGAAAGTTCCCCAGAGCCAAACAGTTATGTAACAATTTGGAGAAACTGTGTCAGTGGAAAATAGTTGGGAATTTATGTCGGAAAATATACGTCTGTCCGCCACTCAAAACAAATACAAGTAGTTCCAAAACCAATGGAGCAGTAAGTTTTGGCAAGGAGGTTAAATACAAGCCTCCTTGGTTTTGGGGTTACAAGAAACCAACAACAGTCTGTCGGACTCTGTCCACAACATAATTTATAAACACGAAAAAACTGCTCTAACTTAGTCAAAGTACTTAGAAATGCCCCCGGCCCCGGCCTCCCCATTCTAACTTACAAAAACAGCCCGTTGAAAATCGTGCTTGGGAGTTGGAAATGTTTTCCTTCCACAGCGTCCGATATAATATAAAATTACGTTCTGGGCACGGCGAGACTGCAGCGAATAACACTAGCGTGTTCGCGATTGTAGTTGACTGCCCTGGGAATGAGACCGCATTTTCTCCGCGCAAAGCATACTGGGAAGAGCCAACCATAGTATCCTGGGGACGAGTCGATGAACGATGAAAATTTGAGTTTTGAAGGGTGAAAAAAAGTTTTGAACGATGAAAATTTGAGTTTTGAAGGGTGAAAAAAAGTTTTGAACGATGAAAATTTGAGTTTTGAAGGGTGAAAATTTGAGTTTTGAAGGGTGAAAAAAAGTTTTGAACGATGAAAATTGGGTTTTGAAGGGTGAAAATTTGAGTTTTGAAGGGTGAAAAAAAGTTTTGAACGATGAAAATTGGGTTTTGAAGGGTGAAAATTTGAGTTTTGAAGGGTGAAAAAAAGTTTTGAACGATGAAAATTGGGTTTTGAAGGGTGAAAATTTGAGTTTTGAAGGGTGAAAAAAAGTTTTGAACGATGAAAATTGGGTTTTGAAGGGTGAAAATTTGAGTTTTGAAGGGTGAAAAAAAGTTTTGAACGATGAAAATTGGGTTTTGAAGGGTGAAAATTTGAGTTTTGAAGGGTGAAAAAAAGTTTTGAACGATGAAAATTGGGTTTTGAAGGGTGAAAAATTGAGTTTTGAAGGGTGAAAAATTAAATTTTGAACGATGAAAAATTAAGTTTTGAAGGGTGAAAATTGGGTTTTGAACGGTGAAAAGTAAGTTTTGAAGGGTGAAAAATTAAGTTTTGAACGATGAAAATTTGAGTTTTGAAGGGTGAAAATTGGGTTTTGAAGGGTGAAAATTTGAGTTTTGAAGGGTGAAAAAAAGTTTTGAACGATGAAAATTGGGTTTTGAAGGGTGAAAATTGGAGTTTTGAAGGGTGAAAAAAAGTTTTGAACGATGAAAATTGGGTTTTGAAGGGTGAAAAATTGAGTTTTGAAGGATGAAAAATTGAGTTTTGAACGATGAAAAATTAAGTTTTGAAGGGTGAAAACTGGGTTTTGAAGGGTGAAAATTTGAGTTTTGAAGGGTGAAAATTTGGTTTTGAAGGGTGAAAATGGGTTTTGAACGGTGAAAACTGACCCGATGAAGCCTTGTTGAAGTTGTACCTTTGGTCTTTCGTACGCAACACGTTCAATTCGACAGAACAACAACACATGACACTTGTGGAACCGCCTGATCTTCGCGGATCAACTTTACCTCTATAAGGTCGTTCTGTACGTTTCTGGCGAGTGTACCTGTGGTCACTCTATTTGTTTATTTATCAACCTTGGATGCATGTTGGTGTCCCTGCAAACGTGTGTGGCGGACAACACATCTATAAACCAGACCTCGTGACCGTGGCCTGTTTGCGAACCAGCGCACGGACAGCATCCAGGATATAATACAAGCACCTACAAGCACGCCAGGCCTATATCTGTAGCATTGGGGGTTCATAATACCCTGGAATCCAAACTCGCTGTCCGGGCCACAAAAGCCCTTCGCCCGCTGGTGTAAATTACCGCTACGGGGGAGTCTAGCCCGGGGAGAGTTTGGCTGGCCGGACCAACAAGTTCTAGGGCCAGCCAACTCCCATCGGGCTCAACTCCTCCGTAGCGCTAATTTAGGCAGGCGGGCGAAGGGCTCTCGGCTGCCGAAGGAAAACGGCTAACGGCCCGATACTAGTTTGGCATCCAGGGTAGGTTCATAACGGCTTTCATAAACATTTTTCTGACAATCCCGTACCTGCGAAAAGGTTTGGGTTTGATAGCCTATTCCTACCCTTACAGAATATACACACAGCGACAGACCATGCTATGTTATGCACATAATGATAATGTATATGATATACATATGGTTTTTGCGTATCGATCCAGAGTCCAGAGCGCACGTAAACTATATTGTCCTGCTTTCTATTATATAAGGTCAACGACCGCTTGACCGGGCATGTAAAATTTGCAGCGGTGGAGAAAAGGATCGCTTCGGTAGACTAGATAATGATCACCGTACCGGTATCCAGTGATCTTTGTTCCTACTGACTTTATACAAGGAGCTTTCATCACAAGTAGTACTAGTATGTCCTTTTCTGTCTTACAACTTTTGATAGATTTTATCTGGATTCATGTGCTGTACGTGCGCTCTTATAGAGTCCATTCCAAGTCACCGCGTGTTTTTTAAAATAGTACCTTTAATATTTGTCTTCGTCAGAAGGACTATGAAATTGTCTCGCCGGAGTGTGGGGAACTGCGGATTTTGCGATATAACTCTGGAAGGCATGATTCGACGTCCATGATTTTTGGCAGGCAGATTACCGCTGTTGAGGCCAAAGCCAAGTACAAGTTTCGGCTTCGTGGGGGGTCCGTGCGTCACGTTAGTGCACCTTTTGTGTTTGTGGCTTGTTAGCAAGATAACTCAAGTATTTGTAAAATGTTGATTATAATTCTTGCTGTGGTGCTTACTATTGTTGGGACCAAGGTTAAGTTCGTTACTGAGCTTCGTGGGGGGTTTTGTTGTGACTACAGGGGGCATTTTGTTAATTTTTCTTGTGAGCAGGATAACTTTTGTATGTGTAGATGGAAGTTAATGAAATTCGATAGGCCTGTTACTGTGGTGGTCTCCAAGATTGAGTTCAAAGATGAGAGTCGTGGAAGTCGTTATGTCCCCGTAATAGGACCTTTTGTGTTTAGAAATCCCCACCTACATCTGCTTGGAGACAGCCGACAGCTGGATATAGCTGGGGAACCCCATAATGGGATGGGATCAAATGACGTTACATTGAGGGATTGTACTATAACTTCAACAGGGGGAGGATAGGTTGGACATATGTCAGGTTATTTTCTACGGCCACACCAAGTAATTGCTATGGATGACGTCCACTGGAGACCTTAAATCTAATTACCTTAAATTTAAGGCAAGCGCGCAATAAAAACACGAAGGGCCGAAAAACGAGATGCCTAGATTTGGAATATACTAACTGTAGAAGTACAAATGTTAGGACACAAAGAACACAAGAAACAAGTCTTCTATTTGTCATAAAGACAAATTAACAAAACAGCAGTAGTCACCCTGTTCTGATTCTTTCCTTTATAACATCAAGTCTTATTATATTTTGCGGCGCTGTCGTGACACTTTCAACACAGTAAGAATTTCTTTAACGTTTTTTTTCCAGTAACAGTCCAAACTCAAATAACGTAGGGGGGGGGTGTGGCTAACACGGGTGACGACGCATCTGTATAATCTGCGGCAAACCGTTTCAGGGTGTTCTGTACCATAAAAATAGTACAGAGATTCTTTTGTTCTTTAGACCAAATTGATTATTAAAAAGAGTGAAGAATACGACATGTTAATTTCTCTAGAACGATGTACCTCTGACGAAGACATGAGATCTCCGACCTCTAGTTTCTCACTGTTTTTATTTTTGAAAATATTATAAATATTCTGAAATTATTATAAAAATGTACGTACTTGAGTAGCATGTTTTCGAACATGTCATAATTTGCAAAAATTTCGAAAGTGGCAATCAACTGAGATCTTACTTTTAATTTCTTTTTTTTACCAGCCAAACTTCGTATTTACTTGATGTGCAGTTTCACCCGCGGCATCTGGGTTTACGCTCTCTGGCGGCGTCCTTTGTAGTCCGTGTAGTCAAAAGGCAGACGCCTGCATACAAATGAGCCCGATCATGACGTCACACGCGCCGATGCAGGCCGAAGATCGCGATCGCCCGAGCTGCCAGCGGTTTCCGCGGACTTCCTTATTTGGAAGCACACATGACTTGCACGGACGGCGTTTTTGACGAGAGGGAAGACGGAGTGTATTTTGACATGTTTCGGCGCCGTGTAATAGATCTACGTAATACTGTGCGAGAAAGATCCTTGAATTTACAAGCGTTTTTGTGAATGGGTACCTATTTTTATCTCAAGAAATATGGATGGACTGTACAACCATGGTACAACAGAAAGGATTTGATGTTTCACTAGAGTTTGAGATTTATTAAAAGCAGCGTACGGTTTGGCACTGTTTTTCAGTATCAATGGCTGGCCGCTATCGTGTCGAGTGCTCGCCGACGGCAGGATCGCCGCAGGGTTCATCAACGATACCTATTTTTGGCTCACAGAACGCTTCGTGTTGATGTGCATGCCCGTAGCCAGGAGGGGTTCGGGGGGTTCGGAAGAACCCCCCACAAGGCTCAAAGGTCCACTTTTTGGTCCACTTTTTATGTAAAGGTCCACTTTTCGGTCCACATTTTTATGTAAAGGTCCAAGATTTTTCTGAAAAGATGGACTGGAATCGTAGAAAACTGCTCCCTTTGTCATTGAATAAAAATTTATCTCTGATTTTTCTTGGAAATCCTCTCAAAAATGCACGAAATGCCATTTCAGAAGGTTCATTTTTCAAAATTTTATGGGGGAGCATGCCCCCGGACCCCCCTAGGAACCTCGCGCCTTCGGCACTCGATGTCCCCTCAAGCAGTGGAAAGAACCCCCCCCCCCCATTCAAAATCCTGGCTACGGGCATGATGTGCAAATTACTTCGTCACGGGTCATTTACAAAAATTAAAAAAAATGGTAGAACCGAGTTGCCTTTCTTTAGAAATCATTGGAAATATCGTACGCGGACTCAAAAATATTTCGAAAGTTTTGTAATTTACGGAAATTTCTTAAGAAGTTAAGAACAAGTTTGAAATGTTTGTAAAACATAAGATATCCCTTTAAAAATATTTATAAAAGATTGGAATTAAATCTAAACAATAGCAACAAACACCGAGCTAAGAATGGGGACCCGATATTGGTCGATCGCCGACATGTAGCTAACCAGGCACATATATGTACATGTAGCTTATGAAGTGAATATTCCAATTCGTACATATAATAAAAATAAATTAAATTGATAATACCCTAATTTACATAATATACAATTCGTCGCCTAGGTGTATTTTTTACACCTTTCTTGTTGTATCTTTTGTTCTGAAAAGGCCATGGTCTTGATATTTTGAAAAGGTGTTCTTGGTAAAACCTTTTAAAGAGGATAAGAAGTAAACAATGGATTTTCATGTTAGTAGCTTAGGCAGACAAACTTGCGCAAATAAGGCCTGTGGTCGTGTGGCGTAGCGGCAGCGTTCTCGACTCGGAACCAGAGGCCCCGGGTTCGAGTCCTGACATGCCACCGATCTTGTGCCCTTGGCACTTTACACGACTTTCCTCACTTCGCTCAGGTGTAAATGAGTATTGTACTGTCCCTGTGTTGGTGGCGGCATTAATATAAGTTGAAAAAACTTGAGTGTGCTGTCACCACGTCTTGTGATTACATGTTTCGGAATATATAAAAAAAAGTGAAAAAAATAAGGCCTTAATTTTGCTAATTAATGAGAAACTTCCAGTGTTTTACTAAATGGGACTTTGTTTATATATAACATATGTAATCTTTGACAGATGGGACATTAACAGATACCAATTATTGTAATAACATTATGTAAATGTGGAGTGTATTTGCATAATGAATGATGAAATGTTAATGTAATAAGAAGAAGGTATTCTGCTAAAGGATAGACCTTTCAATAATGGATGAGACAAAATAAAACAAAATAAATTAGAAAAACTATTTAATGGAGATATGACAATCTCCATTAACATGACCATGACCAACATGACGATGTATGTTCAGTAAGACACAACTGTAGAAGTAACAAACACTGTATTGAACTTCATCGTCAAGGATCTTATATGTGATAATCGTGCGTAATATCATTAGATGTATACATGAACAATTAGTAACATTATCTTGTGCAACAAGGACCTTAATTCCTGAATATACTGCATCGTAAAACATGTCACAAAATCAATATGTATTCATGCTTCATACTGTCATCTGTTACAACAATTGAGGTCATTGCCATGTATACTATATAGGATACTCGGTACTTTTGTGCAATGCTATTGATTAATCTTTATTTTCTATCTACTTTATTATGTGTATTTTTATACCATATTTTCAGTCAATCTCTATATATCTAAAGAAGGAAGTTATGGACCACAATTCTGAATCATGAATGTACCAATGATAATAAAGTGCTATGCAAAAAAGCCAAATTCTTGCATGCATAAAAGTAAAATTCTTATCAACAAGATTTTGAAATGTTCATAATGTCATTTAATATATATCGTAACAGATTAACTTTTATTCGAATAAACCTAAGCTGAATTTTTAGATAGATAAAAAAGCCAACGCTGAAGTCAGGTGAATCACTGTCAATCAAACCAGAGTCTCCTTGCTCTTTGTCAAGCTGGTCTTGCTCCTGCTTTTCTTTCTCTTGGCATTGGGGTCGATGTTTTTGAAGTTCCTCTGAATGCAGAGCTTCCTGACGACGTCCTGATAGCTGAACTGCCCGTCGCTGTCGATGTCGATGTGCCTGAGGAGCTCGTCCACGTCCGAGTCGCTGAGTTTGTGTCCGAGGTGCGTCAGGTTGTAGCGCAGCTCCGACTCGTGCACGTACCCCAGCCCGTCCTTATCGAACACACGGAACGCCTCCCGCAGGATCTCCGAACTGTACAGGGTCTGCGGAGTAATGTGGATATGACGATGAACTAGAAAGGTAATATTTAGTACCTTCACATGGTCTAGTCTAACCAACTTCTGCTCGGTTTATTCTTGCATTCATATATTTAGCGATCAGCTCCTACAACTCTACATCTGTCCTGCAACTTGACAACATAAATGTAACCGCGTCAACACCACAGGGTGTCACCATACCATAGTGACGGCCGTACTGGTCCATAGACCTTATGTATTTGCAGAAGACGAAGAAGAAACAAAAGTACAGTAATGTGTTTCCTTCTGCGACGGTTAACATAATGACACTTCGGTTGGTAATTGCCAAAACATTGGTGACAACGCATGGTAATCTACACATAACATAAACAGACTGAACGCCTTACGAACAGTTACACCTGTCATAGAAATTGTATTTACTTCAAATGTTGTTAATTACATTCAGTCTGTTGATATGACTTGATTATTTTTCGATCACGCAAACAGCCCAGTCGGATCCGTTTGGAAATGTGACCTTAGCATAAGGTATGCAGATGAGCTGATAACGAAATGTGCGTCACTGTGGGTCCTGGAGAAGCAGAGGTCGCCGGCATATCAAGACATGATTGTTTACCAAAAGTGTAAAGAATTTGGCAACAACGTCAGCATGTCTCCATCTTCCGTTGTTCAAACAAGAGGCTTCCGCTAGCACTGCCGGTTATCGCAGGCAGGAAGAGACAAGCGAGGCAACGGCCGTGTCAGAAATGCTACAAAAACGCCGTTTATGTTGACTCAACCTTTCACACACTGAAGTAGCTGTTTGGCTTCCAATTCTAAATAGAATACGAAGTTAGGCAGCAAGGAGAAGGTTGATTATTCTGCATATATGTTGCTTAAAACCCTGCTCCTCTGAAAGTTCTGTTTCCACAGTGAATATCTTCTACATTTGTTAGATAAACGATGATGACTGATGTACGATGGTCACAACATCGCTAGGTTACGTCAAAATACTTTGTTAATTTGCTGCACTGGGAAAGAATCACAGTTCACACAAAACGGCAACAGAGAACGTCATTCAAATCCTATGATGGCATGGCTTTTTGGATATTATCTTTATGAATTAGTAAGTCATTTTTTGTTCACTGTTGTCAATTGTTAACTTCATGAGCACCCGACAGCTTGAAGGATGACATTTCGAGAAATGATGATGCTGTTGGTAATAAGGCGTTTGCACTCACGTGACTATTGTTGTCCGCCATATTGGGAAGTTAAACCTGGAAGTGTTCATATGTGTTCAAATTTGAATTTGCACAAGTAATATTAAAGTCATGAAACTGACCCATACGTACATGAGTAAGTGATGTCAGATACAAATAAACTATACTCATGCAAATTAGTTTTGCCAACTCTTCCAAGTTCAACCAATCAGCATGGCGGCTGTAACGCATGTCACAAGCACAAACACCATATAAGAACATGCCAGACCGGAAGTGAAGGTTGTGTCCGTACCTGGATCGGGTCGCTCACGTCCGTGGCGCCCGGAAGCTTCGTGGTCATCAGGATGACGAACTCCTCGAAGTCGATCGTTCCGGAGCCGTCCTCATCCACGGAGGCCAGCATCTCCACTACCTGCGGAAAGGTGGTGGGGAATGGCTATCTTTTAAAATTTCATTTTCATGTATTATAGATATTTATTCGTACATAGTGTGAACACAAAATTAAAGAAAACCGTCAAAACTTACTACCTTCTCGTACGTCAACGTATCAAGCAAATCATTTACAATTCTGAATCATTGCTGAGTAGAATATGATGTCACATGATATAGCCTTTTAATTTTCTAACCACAAGGGAGACATTTTTGGGTTCAAATGTGACAAACAATTAGAATGTGTTTAGTGCCTGAAAAAAGGTAAGTTCCATGCATCATGTGTTAATGAGTGTCAACCGTCCAAAGTCTGATGACAAGGCTAGCCGGACCGGTGTCTCCCCGGCTAATTGTGCTATCTCCACCAGGGGCAGATCAGGTCACTCCATGGTATCGGCGATAACATGGTAAGTAAAAGAGGCCATTAGTTCCAGATGATAGCTGCCTGATTACCAACGATACCGTGTTCACGGATCGCAGAGATACCTCACTTTGACAGCTAGTATGACGTACTAGTTTGTTGGGCTGACGTCACCATTGCGCATCTTAAGTCCCTAGTTTATATCTTTTAAAATTTTATTGAGACGTTTGGTCCAGTTTGAAGACTCTGGGGCTTGAAGGAACAGGAAGGGTCTAAAGTTCGACTCTAAACTTTCCTACTAAATTTTGTTACCACCAGTTTTGCGGGCGTCATGACAGATCTGAGTAGTTTGGTCTTGCCTGCCCAGAGCGGATGTATACACGAGAAATTGAGGTCAAAGGTAAGGTTTGTTTACTGTTGTCAGCTGTTCTAGAAATTACAGTCGGCCAACCCCATGTTTTCTTTGTATATTTGAGGGGATACCGTTGTGACTTTCTGGCGCAGAAGAATGTTTGAGATGGGATGTGTGGACTGAATGTAAGCGCATAACCCTAGTGACACAATGTAATACAATTGTTTGCCACATTTGTGATAAAAGCAATGCAGTTTCTTTGGAATTAGTCTCTAGCGCTATGTATCTGTCCTGGACAAAATATCAACTTCAGTCATTTTACATTGTGATTATATCTTCCTACAGTGTTGTACATAACTTTATACCAGAATGCGAACTCGAATAAAGGCATGGCTAGGTGCCATGGGAGCTGAGCTCGAGTTGCTCGTGTTCTTTATCAATCATCGCCTATAACTTACATACACTTCTAGAGAGTTGTGGAGCGCTATGCTCCTCTTCCTGTCTCCCGCCCTTTATATTCATCCCGTGAGACAAAATCGGAAAAGAAGGCTTACAGAAATGAGATTTTAATCCCTTTTAAGCCTCAATATCTTCCTATATGATTGAGCTGATGTTTCGATATGCTGTACGGACTGTGTTTCCCCCTCACACACCACTAGTGGTGACCCTGATGATTTCTGCACTATTAATGGCCAAGCAGGGATCAGTATAAGCCTGTGATAATGGGCTGTCTGGGGAAAATGGCAGGATTTGCTCAGTTGTAGAACTGCTATATTTACTCGGCATCCCCAACGATGTGTGGATACTGTTTCTACATTCATTTCTGCCAAGATAAACATAATGCTAAGGTCAAACTTTCTAGCTAGCACAAAAAAAGCCGCTTGTCTTTTCAACATCGAAATTAACCATTTAAGCCTTCAGGAGTGTTTAGATTTGACATTTACAATTAAAGCCAACTCCTGTTTCTGTGACCGATGGTTGTTTTGAAAAGAAGTAGCCGGTCAATACGATGAAGGGGAGAATATCTGTAATATTGGAGGTCCAATGTAGGAATCAGACATCAAAATATAATTCAGAATTTAGTTAAAGTTAGTTAATTTTTAAAATGTACTAAGACTAATCAGCACTATTCCATATATAGCATACTGATACCTGCGAGACAAATGATGTGATGTCGCTGACGGAAAACGGTTGCTTGTGTCGTATCGTAGCAATAGGCTGGTTCTAGCTATTAATTGGTGTTACAAAAAAAGGCTCCTCACGTAGCATTTGGGGGCTATTTCAAACGCTTCAAGTATGAAACGATGTGCTAAAGAAATGACAGTAAATGTCAATATTGGACAGATTTCCTCGTCCAGAATATTTTTTGCTTTGCCACCCTGAAATTAAGTCGGATGGGTGCAATATACTGTATAGACACGCCGTTCACACTCTTCATCAAAACCATGAAGTACCCGATGAGGTTACATTGTATTTGATGCTCATTATGGCAAGCTTTGAGCACAAATATATAGGATATGGTTCAAACGTCTGTTATGAAACATCCATCTTGTTGTATCTTCTTCCCTTTCCTGGAACAGCCACGCGTGTTTTCTGGTGACTAATGACCGACTGTTTGCCTGCTGTCATTAGTACAAACCTCCAGCATTTACCCAGAACAAGCCGGTCGCTGAAAATAGCGGAGTAAGCATACAGTGACCCAAAACTGTTCAGTCATTTCCTGACTCATGTGTGACACATATTAGAAACATGTTATTCGGCTTCAGGGCTAGATGGTCGTTACTACTGTATAATATCAAAGTTCAAGTTTTTGTATGTATTACGTTGTAAAACTATAGACTCGCACGGTGCACTCGCGTGAAAGGCCCTAATTCCAACACTTCTACAGAATCTACTTCAACCAAACCTGCTGGAGACATAATGGATTACTTGTAAGAACAATGTTAGAGATTAAAGAATGGTCGAGAAATTTACCTCCATCGAAGACGGGTTGAGTCCGAGACACCTCATGACGTTGAGCAGCTCTCTGCGGTCTATGAAGCCGTTCCCGTCCTTGTCGAACTCCTGGAAGGCCATCTGTAGCTCCGTCAGCTCCTCTCTCGTCAGGGAGTTCTCCCCGTTCTGGTGCGCCATCCTCTGCAGTGCTGGAATGGTAAGGTTCACGAACTGTGGGCTCTTCTACTTTTCTCTGCGAAAAGACACGTCAGGCTTCAGGCTGCAGCTGGGTCGCCAGCTATGCCAGGCACGTCCACTCACTGCCACACGTAAGCCGGTCTGAGAGCCGATTACCTACTTAAAACGCTTTGGCACACAAAGCCTCTTGGTGGCCCACTCTTCGCGCGGCGTGAGTTGGGAGGATTTGCGTCTGATTGTCACACTACTGGCATCTGTAACGTTCACGCCGAATTAAGTATACCCCTCCCTGGGTCGATGATTACGTGCAAAAGACGCTGTATGAGAATGCGATAATGCGGGACTCTCAAGGCAAGATGTTGATAAAAATAATCACCGCCTCTGGTCATTCAACCCACGGCGGTGAATGACTGATTAACCTCACATCGTCTGTAGATCTGGATGTGGTGATTTATGTGAGGCAGCGACCTACAGACAGGAAATCTGGAGTGGAGGCACTAAGTCACAGTCACACCACCAAATGCATGTCTTGGGTCACATTCGCGGTACGATTATCGTGTGGTAGACTCATGATGACAGATGACAGAACGCACAGTCATCTTTGATGTACGACAATCTTTTTCAAACAGCTAGATATCAAAGACAGCGTCAAATTAACAGGAAGGCTTCACCGGAGCCAGATACCAGTACAAAAAAAGAAAGCCCCATAAAAGCCACATCCAAACACGTCAGAAATACGACGAAGCCTAGACCATGACCAGGCCCTTACCAGACAATGAAGTTCTCGCTGCTGCTGTTTTTCCTCAGCCGGCTGTTGTGTAGGGTAGGTCTGCATGAGTTTGTGTACGTGTAGCAGGCCGGCAGAGGTATGATGTAATACCCATGAGATCTGTACGGTGTCTGTAGAAGGGCATCTCACAGCACGGGAGCCGTCAGGGCGCTGGGGTAAAACTTCGCACATTCCTCATCACGACAGGTGGATTACTCCGGGCGTAGCCTCCACCAGACTTTCCTAAGGGGGGTACGGATCGTAGAACTCGAAAAAGGGAAATAGTTGGCCAGGAAAGTCAGTCCGCGGGAGGGTTGATTTCCTCCTCCGAAGGCAAATGAACTCTTATCTAAAGTGGTTAAACTCCTCTGGCCAATTATTCTCCCTATTTGGCTAAATTGTACTATTTTTCAACCCGCTTTGTTAGTCAGTGGATACTTGAAAGTGCTTGTCTTTGACTGTATGCCTTATGCCACATTTCCAATAGTATCAAACATTATCAACTGAAAATACATTAGAGAGAAGAAGAAAAAAACATGCAGAGATATTACAGAATTATTGCTAACCAGACACGTTTTTCGAAAGTTGAGGTTTTTCTGTAACCAGCCCCTAGCGATAGTCTTTCCATTGCTCTCAAGTTGCTTGATTATCGCCTCTACCGTTTATATGGTATAGATTGCGATAGTATTACGTGTTCACGGCATATATTTTCTATTCTGATTGCAAAATGACAACTGATAACATTCCGCCGCTTTTGACGCCACTGATTTTGCAGAAGAAAACATAAATCCCAGTCCCTGAGGACACATGAACGCCGTCCTCCAGCTGTTATTTAGATAAGCTCCAACCCTGTCGAGACACGAGTATGAAAATGTAGTTCTTCCAGTCTTCTGCTCTTAGGAGACAATTATAACGGCATACTGTCGGAAAGCGTTTCAATGTACTGAATTCAGTACAAACACCGGTTGTGGGATAATCTAAAACTGATAACACAAAGCAGCCAGCCGAAAAGCACCGCCAACAAAATGTGGCCGTGGCTGTACCTATGAGTGTTAAGACCCAATTTTATATCTTTTTCACCAGCAAAATAGGTATGAAATAAAGTTTTTAGTGTCAATTTTAAATAACTCGGTCATGACCGAGTAACGTGGCCCTCTACCTTCCTGAAACTTCCCCCACATCCAGCCTGCAGGCTCCCGATCCTTATTTGCGCTTGGTTATCCCAGCCGTGTCAGTACGCCCGTGTAAGGAACCCCTCATTTGACTCCTCCCCACACCGTGACCGCCACATGACGGTGTCAATCCCCTGAACACTTAGATCGGAGAATGACATAACTCGCGATCAGCCATTCGTCTTCCCGCTGATATCCGTGGTCTTTTTTGTAGATCCTGCATTATAACGTTTGTTCCACCATGGATGAAAATAAAAACTTATTTTCTTAACCACGAGTTACCGACTGTGGAAATGTCTGGTTGTATCATATAGAGATGAGTATTCAATCGGTCAGTGCTGTTTTGTATCATATTAAATAAGGCAGCTATATATCTACGATTTGCATTCTGTTATCATTTCACTCTGTGTAGTAGTCATAGAATATGTTTTGTATAGGTACAGCTGCTCACTGTACCCTTTATATGTATAGTTTAGCGTAATGTAGAACGTACGTGTAGAGTTGAATTATTTTCTAGCCAGCAGTTCTTTATAACACTATGTCAAACACAATAACCGTTGACCATATATGTAGAATTATGATAGACTCATAGCAACTAGTAACATCATTATTTGCCATACATTGTACCCGTGACAATCGTTGTGCAATTAACTTTGACTTGACTTGACTTGACTTGACTTGACTCTCTCCATAGGGGTTAGAGGTCACCTGTGTATCGCGATCGTTTTGCCGTATAGAATTTTCTAGTTCTGGGCCATAAAGATGGACGCTTAAGTGGTATCTGGTCTAGACAACTTTTGACTCTAACACTCAGGTAGATATCTCTAGACAACTAGCAATTTCCATGTACTTAGATAGCAAACCCTATTACTGCCCTTTGCAAATCTGACTGTTGCAGTTTGAACTCAGGGAGTCCAGAGATCCAAACGGTAGGATAACGTGTCTACCGCCTAATACGAGTCCTCCAGAGCACGGTTAGAATCTTAAACGGCTGTCATCGGTAAAGATTGTCTTTGATCATCGCTCTCTACCGGGGGTAGTTGTGTCGTTGGTTCTTTTTCGATGACGTCTGTCTCGACTGATACGTACATACAATATCGAATTCCACACATGTACGTAGACACCAGACGACTTGTGCGATACGCGTACACTACCTCTTACGTTCAGGAAATTCAAAACCTCTCATAGTACATGGAGACTCTAGAAGACACGAAGATCTTTCAAACCCCACGGGAAACAGTGCTCTATATCTTATCTCGAAGGACATCAATTACGTGGCTCTATCTCAAATACGCCGACAGGCACTGAAAACAAGCTCGATACGACATTGGTCAATGCCATTTCTTCATACGTGCCATGGGACTGATAAAGATGTTTTCAAAAAGACGCGTAAATCTTCTGATGGGTCTACATGTTTGCAGATTTCTAACCGATCTAATGCTTAGGTCACAATTACACCGGTGTCCGTACGGGGTGTAACCCACGGCCGGACTCTGAAGTCACGGGGAGGACACCTGCAATCGTGGTTATAAAGACCTCGTTTAACGCTTACTCACAGTGGCGCCACCCTAGGACAGCGGTGCGTACGTTATGCTGAACATTTCCAAACCGGCCCGGCCGTCTTATGGGACGAAAAGTATCATAAAAGACAACGAAGTACGAAGTACGAAAAATAAATAATGGGAACTATTTGCGTATACCATTGATATAAGGCCATATAAATTGTTGATTTTTCGTTAATCGAAACAGCCCGGCCGGGCCCCGGTTTGGGAATGTGACCTCAGCATAAGCACGTCCCCGGAGCTCGAGCCTGCTAACGAGGCTACCCCATCCATGCCATGCAGGGCGAGGTGAACATTTCATCTGGCGACTGCCCTGCCAGATCTGATCAGTAAGGTTGTCATCGGGGCCGGGCGGCGGCTGTATCAAACGTCACGGCGGATCGTTTGTGGACTAGACTCCGCCGGCTTCGGTCAGCTGGGGCGCCGCTATCTGTCCTTATCGTGTCGGAGCCATTAATGGGGGTCGGCGGCCTTCGACTGGCGGCATTTCACCCGTGTCATAACCACTTATGCTGTGGTCACGTTTCCAAACCGATGACCGGTAGGGTAGGGTAGTGAACGAAATTTTGAAGAAAATTGACAATTCGTATCAAGAATGTAACTGTTACGTTACAGAGACAAATAGTGCTCAAAGTTCATTGTTAAATTTTACTCCCCTTTGATTTCCCCTTTTTATCAGAGTGTACTAAAGTACCAAAGTTATTCATCAGATTGGTGAAAGCGCTGAGCACTGAGCGAATCTTCCGTGTTTTGAATTTCCGCCATGCTCCGATGACCCCACAATGCATTGCGCAGTCCAACATGGCGGCCTCCAATTCTAAAGAAATGACTCGTCGGTGCACTCTGCCGAGTTGCGTCTGTCTCATCTAAACTGGAGAACTTTTTGAGGTAAATGGAAAGTTTTCTAATTTTCTAATCACTTGTGGATATGAGAGGTGATATCATTAAGAGTTTGGTCGGTATGCGAGTCGTTGAATGTGAACGCGACGTTAGTAGATGCATGCACGTGTGAACACGCAACATGTGTTGTATCCTTTCGCTAGCTAGTATCCGTACTTTATCCAGAACCGTGCTATAGACAATTCACGCCTTGTTGATCCAAACATATAGGGCAACTTTGTACGTTAACTTCGTATTAATCGTAGCGAAACTTTATCATCATCCATAGAAAAATTTTGCTGTTTAGAAGCAACTACAACAAGAAAATAAAGTAGATTCATGTGTAAGTTGTAACTTTTACATATAAATAGGTGAAATTCAACCAATTTATGAAGTAACTATATATATATAAGTACGATTTGAGAAATACATGTTGTGCATGTCTGTACAAGGTGTCACATATGACTGAGAATATACATACATGTGTATGTAATACTTACTAATAGTCCTATAAATAGTAACACTAAGATGAATATACAGTAAATCAGTCGTGCTTCTTTTTCTACCCTCAGTGCCCAGCCTGATGTAGCCTCTACTTTCAAGTCCACCACCAAACAGTTGTATGACTTTGTCAAGGAAAGTGAAAACAAAACTAACCCCTTAAAGGGACCACTGGCCGAGCTGATCGTGTCCAACTTTGATGACGAACAAATCTGGCAGGAAGTTGAACTACAAAATGATCCCTTACTGAAAAGACTGGTGAAAGATGTCGCCAGAATCAAAAAGAGGAAAGGTGAAACCCTTTCCCTCTTACCTGAGCCGCAATCATCAAGTGAAGAAGAGGAAGTTAAAGAAGATGATTTAAATGAGTTTGAAGACAAAGAAGATGAGAGAACTTTAGAAGATGAGAACGATAATGATGATGAATCAGGCTCTGATCTTGACTTTGACATTGATGCATTCGAGGCCAAAACTAAGCAGAAAAGATCGGCCGCACAAGCCACCCAGCCCAGAACAACAGCAAAGAAGAAAAGGAAGACAGAGGTGGACGACAAGTTCTTCAGCCTGGCAGACATGGAGGAGTTTTTGGTCCAGGAGGATGAGAGAGAGGAGAGGAGGAGGGATGAGGAGGAGGGTAGGAACCAGTCAGATGATGATGATGATGATGAGTCTGTGGACATGTATGCAGATGATGATGATGATGAGGTAAGATATGCATCTCTGTTGTTTCCTACTGAAAATTTTGCTTTTTTTTGTCATTTTTGGCAATTATGAAAAGATTGTCTCAAATTATCATCAGAGACACATGTACCATTTTCTCACCATTCCTTGTTTACATTTTGTAATATAACACTTGGTCTTGAATCTTGATGCCATTCAGGTTACATGTACATTGTGTATGTGTCTAATTTTGTAGGAGGAAGGGAGAGAAGCCAAGTATACAGACTTCTTTGACCCACCAGAGGAAGAAGAAGTGTCAGCCTCCGTGTCTGGGAAACAGTCTTCAGGCCGCAGGAGTGTGAGGTTTGAAGATGAGCTGGGAGATGGGCATGCTCAGGAGGAGGAGGAGGAGGAGGAGGCTGAAGAGGAGGGAGGGTAAATAAACATGTTGGTTAGGCAATGACAGTGTACTACAAATTGTGAAACGTTGTGGTGCTTTTATTTTCACAGCTTTTGCTGATGTCTTTAGTTTAAAAAGATAGCATGGTTTCTCCATGTACTGTCACACATGATAAGCCAGATGTTCTCTGTTCTTATACTAGTGACTATGACTTTGAAGACGTCCCAGAAGAAGAGGTTCAGTTTAAGAAGGCTGTTAAGATGCAGTCCTCAGGTCCCAGTGACCTGTTGGCAGACAGTGACAGTGAGGGAGAAGATGCACAGGAGATCTTGGGTGGGAAAGGCACACAGGTCAAGTCCAACTTTGAGAGGAGGCAGGAAAAGGTGAGATGTTTTATTGCATGCAAGAAAATGTGTTTTACTGCATTTTGGTGTTTATTTTTGAAGATCATTCCCTCAGAAATGTTGTGCAATTGTATATGACTCATAATGTAGGTCCTGCATATGCAGGGTATTGTAGGTAAACTTGAAGCTATGCAGGTATTTCTGCACCAAGCCTTTACCATAAGCATTAATGCATTGTAGAAAATTATGGGTAAGAAGGTGAAGTCTGCTATCTCTGAATACCTTTCTCCCCCGCAGCTGAAGCAGACCATCTCCCAGCTGGAAGAGGCCAACCTGGCGGAGAAGCCGTGGCAGCTGGTCGGAGAGGTCAAAGGTGGGTCGCGCCCGGAGAACAGCCTGCTGGAGGAAGTCCTGTCGTTCGACCAGACCACGACACAAACTCCAGTCATCACGGAGGAGACCACCATGGAGCTGGAGGACATCATCAAACAGAGGATAAAGGACCAGGCAGGGGTTTAAGCTTCTTTTCATTATGTCATTGTTGCAGAAGGATAACATACTGTTTTTGTTCAGTATCTTATTCTTTTCCCCCAAATACTAGAAGGTCAATGACCTGGACTAGATGGCTATCACCATGCTTTACATTATGTAGCAAGGAGTCAGACACAATATATATACGAATCGGTATTAGTAAGAAATAAAAAAAATTACTAAGAATGAAATAAACAGAGCAGTACTAGACCTTTTGAAGATAAGTATAATGCATTTGCTTTCCCCAAGATGACTTGATGTTTAGATTTTATGCATGTATCGGCTGCTGCTTTACAATGTACAATGTCGTGTTTGATACAAGATTGTTGTGTCTTCCTATCACAATCTAAAGAAATCAAGCCAGGGAGGTTCTATAAGTCCCTTTATTGATCTGTCCCCTGTAGGCCTGGGATGATGTAGAGAGGAAAGTGAAGCCTGTAGAAGAGGTGTTTGAGTACAAGAAGAGAGTTGTCCTGGACCAGGAGAAGAGCAAGGCCAGTCTGGCACAGGTGTATGAGAAGGAGTACCTCAAACAGACACAGGTGGGGCAGAAAGGCTATTTATACTTACAAATGTATACAGGTGTTGTTGGGATGAAAACAACACTATTAGCAACTGCAGTGATACATTGAAAACTCAATTTATTAGATAATATCCTTTGGAGGCTTACATGTAAGTCTGATGCAAGGGTGGGCTGTACAAATCATGTATGTTGGTGTGTTTTATTGCGTTCAATGTTTTCAGACTTTCTTTTACCCACATAGATTTTTTTCTGTTTGCAACATCTAATGTTACTTCATGTACTTCAACTAATGTATTTTTCTGCCAAAATCATTGCGTGTTAAGATGTCAGTCCTAAATTCAAGCATGTTTTGCATCATGTGATGTACCAGACAACAGAATGTCACAGTGACTGTAGCATAATGAAACTTGGGGTATTGAGGTACAGCGTATATGGATTGTTGAAGTCATGTTTTCCTCTCCCTGTCCAGGATGAGAAGAAAGAAGAGGAGAACCCTCAGCACCAGGAGATCAGGACCATGATGGACAGTCTGTTTGTTAAACTGGACTCCCTGTCAAACTTCCACTTCACTCCAAAACCTGTGAGTCTACATACATGTACTTACAGTTTCTCCCATTCTGTTTGAAGGAGGTCCACTGTCAATGAATTGTTTTTTTAGATCACTTTAAAACCCTTACCAGGAAATGTTTGAAGTTCCATGCAGACCTGTACAGGTTGTGTTGTCAATACTTATACATGTAGCTGTTGTTATGGTTTGAAGTTTTGTTAAATGTCCCCTCTAGACTCAAAGCTGAGAGGATGGAGGCACCAACTTTTGTTTATGATGACGTGATTGTTTGTCTGTTGTTGTTCATACTGTTATTTATACTACAGTTCTTTGCCTGTTTTTTTTTTCACATCTACTGTTCTTTGTTGCCAGCCTGCCCCAGAGGTTAAGATTGTGTCTAACCTCCCGTCCATCATACATGAGGAAGTGGCCCCCACCAGTGTTAGCGATGCTGCTCTTCTGGCTCCAGAAGAAGTCAAGGTAAGAGTTTATTCCTTGTGATTACAGACCAGAAAGTGCTTCTTTCTTCCATACTAGAAGAGTTTTGAGTATGTTGCAAAATGTACCAGTAAGTAAAAAATAGTTGCAAATATGATGACATAACCAAATGTTTTATAAACAACTTGAAACATTTGGCTGGCGAAGCTGAACTGTAGCTGACCTCACCGAACACCAGCTAACCACAGCCCACCTTGCTCCAGACCTACTTCTAACCATGGTTTGGCTAGTGTTTGGGAGGCCATATTCTGCTATGGGTGACAGGTTTAACATACTGGGCTGCCCTGTTGTTTCATACTTATTTACAATAAAAAAGCATGACTAGAATAACAATCTTTGCAAAAAAAAAATTCCCCAGGAGAAAAGTAAATCAGCTGGTCAGGAGAAGGGTTCCCAGGAAAAGTCGGCGACGGACCGCAAACGTGAGCGGAGACAGAAGAAGATGGAGAAGAGGAGGAGACTTCAGGAGAAGGAGAAGAAACACAGGCTGGTGGAGAAACTCAACCCTGGACTGGGCAACAAGTACGCCAAGAAACGTGCCATGGAGGAGTTAGAGAAGCAGAGCAGACGGGGAGGGAAGACCAAGATTATCAAGGTACACTAACTGTCTAGTGTACAGGGTTGGAAAATAGTCTAACCTTTAATGTAAAGTATGGTGTTTGCACATAATGTCACAGTTGCCTTGGTGGTTGTGTGAACCTGGTGTCTTAAATTTGTAGTACAGTTGTCATACAAGGAAGGCATTTTTGAAATTTTATGAATTTGTGTTGGTGAAGTCACTGCAGAAATTTATGAATTTACAGTAAGCGAGTTGAGATTTACCAGACAACTTTCAACATGGCTGACAGTACAATATTTATATTACAATATACAGGCATAGCCATGTGAGACAAGCCCCCAAAAAGGTTGAAGGGCCTCCTCCAATAGTGTATTCAACCTACTTTTCAAATCTTCATTCTAAGTCTTTGTTCAGGCATGTTGTCCTGTTTATCTATGTTACTTTTTCAAATGCAGATTTGATTGATAGTTTGGAATTTTCCTCCACAGGATGAAGGCAAGTCACAACCCCTGAAGTCTTCCAAGGCCTTCTTCACACAGCTGCAGGAAGAAGTCTCAGAAGAAGTCAAGAAAGCGAGGGGCTCCAAGAACAAGAAGAAGAAGAAAGACACATCAGCATCTAAACTCAAGTTATAGAAAAAGGCTACATTTTATTGTGACAAACAAGGAGGCATTGAAAGCATGAAGATTTTTTTTCACATATACAAATGTGTTTGTAACAGCAATGAAAACGTCCATGAATAATTTCATCAAGAGCTGACATTTTGATGACTGTCTGCCATCTTCACCAGGACAATAAATGAAGGCATTTACCAGTCATAACTGCCCTGATGTCATTGAAACATCAGCTCTTGTTGATGAAGTGGTTGTGAATAAAGAACTTTGCTGTTCAGGAATGAAAACAGTTAGTCGTCAATATTTGTAGAATATCATCTTTATCATTCTATTCACGATATGGAAAATAGCTGTAAGAATGCATATTCATCACTGAAATTAATCAAAACAAGATTCATTTCTTAAAAATTGACAGATCTATTCTTATGCTGACATTGTGTAAAACATTCCCCATGTATTGCACATTCTTGTAAGAAAACATTGAGATAAACAAATCTTTGTTCATTTCTGTTGTTAGCATACAATTTGTAATAAAATGATTACAGAATCGCATCATTGCAGACTTGATTTACATTGTCTATTTGGTTTGTACAACTTTTATGAAACAGCCAGTCTGTACGCATTATATCCTGAAATAATATATTCAGTGTACTTCAGCCGATATATGATTAGAGTTTCTTTTACCAGTCTTAGATGTACCTTTATTGCACCATATGATTATGTCCGTATCACCCCACACAAGCAAAATGAAAATGGCTCCAGGCAAAGATGAAGGCAGTTGATGATGATGATGATAAAATTATTACGCTTTCCATTGTGAAATGCATTCATGACTGCGTATTATCATTCTTCAAGACATAGTACTTAGACCAAACGTGGTACATGTAGTTGTAGGGATATTCAGGAACTGATTTGATCACGGGATTTGACAACGTCCTAAGCCACTACACACGTAAGACTAAACACATTGCCGAACGTGGTAGGGTTAAAAAATATTCAGGAACTGATTTTCATCACGGGATTTGCCGACATCTGAAGCCAGTGCAGCGGGGTCCTGAGAACTCGTCCACGATGGGGACGTACCCAGGTCCGCTTACCCCGGCCGTGTGTCTCCCCCCGCCGCCGAATTTCCGTCTCGTAAACGGTCGTCGCCTTTCCGAACGGTCGTCGCCTTTTTTCAGAACGGTCGTCGCCTTTCGGAGCGGTCGTCGCCATTTCCGATCGACCGAACTTCAATTCCGAATATCCGCGACATGTTCGGGACTTCCCCGAGTTCTTTGAATGTGTGAAATCACACTTCCTGAAGATAACATCGCGACAGAAGACGGGCCAGAACTTGGCTAGGTGGATTGAAGTTGCGTGGGTGCTAGTACATGTATTATAATTATAAGTTCCGGGGGTTGAATTATCTAGGTTAAAACTAGGTTAGTGTTTGAGAAATTCTCGATTGGAACGGGAAGGGTTTGGGTAACTCTGAACTCGAATGTCTCTGGGTATTTATTTTTCTTGTATGTGAACATGTCCTCTCCCTTTTTTCTTTGTTTCCTTTTGAAATGCGAATAAACATTATTTGAAAAAAAAAACCCTCTGAACTAGAACGTTTGTAGGTTTTCATACATTGCTGAATTTGAAACGGGGGCGAGAAAAACTCCACATGTATTTTTGGAACAGCCCATTGTGCGAGCATGTAATTTATGAATGCTGCAGGATGGTCTGACTCAGAAACATTCATTCGGAAGCACCATCACACATGCAGGCATTTACTCTGACCAAGGACATTATGTCCTGACTGACTGACTCACAACTCCACCACAGCCGGGTTTTATTTTGTTGTCTCAGTGCTTGCCCAGCATGGCAGGCCATTTCACACTTGTCACCAGCATGGCATTGATGTGCTACCCAGTGAATGTGTCGTATTTACATACAGTGCAGTGGTGAATGTGTCAAGTATTAACATTCAGCAAGGTAACAAAACATAGACATTTCGGGATGAAAATAGCTTTACAAGTTTGTCAAAACTCCTGTCAAAGTAAGACATTGTCCCCCTTCTAAAACAGCAGGTCCTTTATTAATCCTACATGAATTTTTACGTAAACGAAAGGAATACATACCACAGGGATTGAGAAATATAGCACAGGGACGGAATCTATGTTTGTTTTTGGTTGAAGATTCATTTGTCATTTGTATAAACGGCATTATATGAA